GTGATGACACGGGCTTGTTATTCCATCACTCGGAAAGCTGGGGCAAGAATAACAGGCCGAGTTCAGGGCCAGCATGGATATGTGGCAAGTCTGTCCAAAAACACTTTTTTCCCCTGGGGGGTGTGGTATATATAAAAATACATACAATAAAGTTGGTAAAATTTATTTGGAGGCTAGGTAATTACATCTTTGTAATCCCAGAGCTCAGGAGGCTAAGGCAGAAAAATTGCAAACCCCAGGCCAGCCTGAGCTACATAGTAAAACCCCATCTCAAAGCGAAAAATTATCACAATTCTTTGTTCTTAGATTCAAACTAGATTTTTATTTGCCAACAATGAAGTATCTGTGCCTGTCAAAACAGTCAGATTAAAGCAACATGCAATGGAGGAACACACTCTGTACAGTAGTGAGCATCCTAGAAACTGGATCAGAACGTGACTGGCACTTGCCTCTGCTACTTTATAAGCCCTCTAACACCTTTCAAGATAAGATATCATCACCAACAAATTCAGAATGTACAGCTCAATCCAACCTTCATACATACTACTAAAGTCCTCAACCTCAAAGCTTTAGTATAAACTACTGACACCACTACTCACTGCTCCACCAGAATGGCTGTATATTTTTCCCACCAAAAGTAGGGCTATTGCACCATACGTTCATGGTCTCTGTAAAGAAAAGAAATCATTGTCTTGGTTTATTTCCTTTAAAAACAAGTAAAAGTTCTACAAATTTAAGATCCTAAACAATAAATGTTGAAGTTTTCAGCAAAAATCATTTCAGTATTTAATAAATAGGTCCCCCACACAGAATATTATACTTGTAAAAACACAATAATATGCATGTGCCACAAAATGAAAATATACAAGCCTTTTTAAGTACTTTAAGTACTTAATTCAGGGATTCAGAAATATTTTTTCAGGGTTTCAAAGTAGCTTTATAATTATTTTAAGATAATAATAAATAAAATAATCCCTCTGGACATGGCACACTCCTAATAGTCCTAACAGGAGTCAAAAGGAGGAGTCCAACCTGGGCTACATAGCTAGTACAAGACCAGTCAAGGCTACACACAAGACCTCTTCTTTAAAAAAAAAAATGAATAAGAAAAGCCAGATGTGGTGGCTCATGACTATAGTTCCAGCACTAGAGAAGTAGAAGCAGGATGCAGAGTTCAAGACCAACTTGGGCTACATAAGACTCTAAGTTTCAAAAACAAAACAAGAAAAGTTTGCATAGAAAATGTTCCTTCAGGTGTGGACTGAGAAAGTCTACAGGGAAGTAAAAGATACCCATAACCACTTTAACTAATTCAATTCAGGTAAGCAAAAGGGGTCCTGAGGGGACAGACTGGAAGGAAACTGCTGTTCCTTAATCTGCTATGACAGTTTGAGAATTACTAAAAGAGATAACAAAACTGTATCCACAGGGGTTCTATCAGAAAAAGATCCAGAATAAACTAAGTGTAAGAGGTAAATATAATGGCAGAGCCACAGATGAACAGAGGCCTGGAAAATTAACTGTGTACATATGAACTTTATTTGTATTCTAATTTGAACAAAATAATCCTAAGATGTTCATGACATTGACATTCATGGCCAGAGGTTTGATGATATTAAGGGAAATACTAGAATTCTGGGAATGATAATAGTAGTATGGTTATTTTTACAGCCCTTATCTTCTCAAAGGGGTTAAGATGGAATGTTTATGGATATTCCTGGGATTTCATTCAAAAGCACCCAATGGAGGCAGTTACGTGATATAATACATTTAACTAAACTGTAATAAACGTTGAAGCAGGGCAGTGTGTGCATACAGATTTATATCCCATGATAAAAAGTCCACCAAAAAGTATATCATTAATTTATTATAGTCTAAAAGAATCAGCTTACTAAAGCATGCTTATTATATTCCAAAATTATGAAAGCTGAGATTATGAGGAAAATATAAACAAATAAAACTCATCTGTAAGGCTAATTGCTTTGTCATTAGACAATGCTAATGACCACAGCAATAGATGAGCAATTTAAACTAGCTAAGGGAACTGGATATAAAACAACAGCTAGAGTAAACAAACTAGAAGCTATATGCAATCAATCATTTTTTATGTTATGATATGCTGTGATAAACAAAATTTGTTGTTAATTAGATATTTGAACTGCCCTCATTTTAGGCTAACCATGTCATTTATGGCCAAGATCTCTAGAAATAAGGGGTGTTACAGCTGATGTGCTGCTTAAACGAAGAGTAAATTCTGAGAAGTGCCACTGTTGGAAACATCATGGTTTACACTTGCACAAACTGGAGAACTATGAAGTCACAGGATGATATACAGTCTTCATCAAAAGTACAGTTGGTCTACAATATGGACTGTCCTTTCTGGTAAGATTATATATAATGCACGTTCCTATTCATGTGAATTGGTCAAACAAATTACCCTCAAAAGAACTATGGGGGTAGAAGCCATGCTTAGCATTTTTGAGGGCTTGGATTCAATCCTTATGAAAAAAATTAACTAACTAAATGCAATAATTAACCCTCTTGAAGACTAAATAAAAGCACAAATACTTTGTCACATCCTCAATTATCTCACTGGATAGGCAGGAACTCCAACTTCTGAAATAATTATATGTGCTCTTCTATATTCAAATAAAGGAAATGAAGACTCTCCAGAGCAGCCTATTAACAGACTACTCTGCTTGGCTTCAATACCCAGAATCCTTTGTATCACCCTGCACAGCCACCAAAAATCAAGAAAAGCACTGAATCTGAAAAAAAAACACAATTCTTTACTTCCTGCTTAAAAGAAAACTTGCACCCTCATCCAACTGTTAACTTACATTTAAATCTTTATGCTGCCACTCATAAGTTAACTGGCCAAATTAAACAAGCCTTAGCTGCCTCCCACATAAACTATACACCACCTCTAGAGTTAAAAAGACTGTAACTTATGTGATACAATGTCTGTCATTCAATTGGAAGCTCTTGTTATTTTTACCAGGAAGTGTCATTCAGTGGCCAACTCAAATAAGATACAAATTATTTTTTAAAGTGTCTGTTGAATACAGTGTAGCCATGGCCTGAGTATACGGATAAAAAGTATCTCCTAAGGCTGGATATATAGTTCAAAGGTAGGGCACAGATGGCCTGTAGTCGGATCTACTGTGGGTGCTGAGGCAGGAGGAAGTTGAGACAAGAGGATCAGATTGAGCTCAAGAGTTCAAAACAGCAAGACTAAGACTCCACATTCTTTCAAAAGGGAAAACAACTCCTCAAGCAAAAGAAATTACTATTTATAAGTGCTTGCTATTAGCAAAATAGAACAAAATTCAGAATTACAATTTTCTAAAACTGATACAATGAGCACCTCAACATGAGAAAACGCAATCCACTCTATTTCCAAAAACTTACCTTTTTGCACCTTTCTTTTGCAGATTTGAAATTCAGATTCTCACACAATCACTGGCCTCTTCTTCTGTTTGATTCAATAGCATACACATTAGTGTCTCTCTTGCTATTAAAAACACCAGCAGAAAGCACTGTCTTATTCAGCTTTCTAACTAGGAATCCTAAACTAATCCAAAATTACTAAAAATAATAATTAAAAAAAAGCAAACAAAACAAAAACCCTGAAGACTAACAAAGTATACAGAGTGACAGAACAGGCGCCCATCGCCCCCACTCCCCAAACCACCATATTCCAATATGAATTTTAAAGAATTGTTCCCAAATGGAAAAGGATTCCTGTGTCTTGATGGGAGGTCAAGGAATTTAAAAAGTTAAGCATGGGGTATGATGGGGAATGTCTGTCATATCAGTGCTTGGGAGAGGCTGAGTCAGGGAGATTGCAAGTTCAAGGCAAGCATGGACAACTTAACCCAGACCATGTCTCAAAAATAAAAGGCGGGAGGCTGGGGTGTGTGTGGCTCAATGGTAGGATGCTTGCCTGGCATGCAGGTGGCTCTGGGTTCAATCCCCAGTACAGCAAAAATAAATAAATACATAAATACACCAAACACACTAATAATAATAAACCATTTCCAAACAGGTGAGACACCAGAGTGTGTGTGCTGTTGCAGGAAACAGAATGGAGAGCCATGAATGGGAGTCTCTGCACTTCCTATCTGCAAAAGAAGAGAATAAAAAGGTTAACTCTAAACTGAAAAGAGATTGTCTTCTTTACCTGTTTAAAGCAGTGTCCAGAACATTTTAAATAAAAGATGAAAATATACCGGTTAAGACAGAGGTTTGCAGGTGAACTCAACCTTGCAGTCAAAAACATGAATTTAACTGTAAACATACTCTCAGAAGTCATTTGAGAATCAATCCCTAGCACCACCAAAGAAAGTCATTCGAACGTTTTTGTAAACCCACCACTTTGAAACAGAAGGTTTAAAAAAAAAAAAAAGAAACAAGAGTCTCATCCTGTCTTTTTAACCTGACTTAACCTGTAAGTAAGTAAAATTCGCAAAATGTGCCTCCTTTTTGAAGAGTTAACCCTATGGGGACCAGCAGTAAGAATAACAGTTTTTTTTAAGGGGGGGCATTAACTCAAGGCTCTTCCTCTTTTAACAAGTGATAGGTCACATTTAGGGAAGCCCAACGCACACTCCCCTTTCTTCAGCCCCGCTCAAGTTTAAGGTTGATTCGAGGACAGACGAGAGCCTCGGCAGCACCTCTCCCCCGCCCAGCACCCGGTCCTCCGGGGGCTCCATCTGCATTTTGCATTAACCCATCTGCCCCAGTGCGCGAGCCAGGGTCGCAGAGGGCCGGAGATGAGGAGGCGGGGTGCGCCAGCCATCTGCACCCGCGCGCGTCCCCAGCCGCACACCTGGGGCCGGGCTGGCCCTCCGGGGCCGCGCGCGTCTGCCCCACGCGGAGCGCGCCCCACGCGGACAGCGGCGCGCAGGAGCCGAGGGCGGGGCCGGGCGGGAGCAGCCGGGGTTCGCGCTCTCCCTGGCGGCGGAGCGGACGGCGTGCTGTCGGGGGGCCGGCGGTACCTTTTAGACAGGTCCATGAGGACCCCGGAGAAGAGCTTCTCCCCGAGGCGGAACGACACTACGAGCGCGTCCTCGATGATGTGGTCCAGCGTGACCCGCACCTCCGAGCCGGGGATGAGCTGCGACACCGCCGAGTCCCCGCCCGCCGGCGGCACGAGCGCCGGAGCTGGCGGCGGCCGCGGCGCATCCTCGGACTGCTCCGGGGCGGCCGAGGGCTGCTCGGGCGGCGGGGCCGGGGCGGCCGCGGGCTCGGGAGGCTTCGCCTCAGCCTCGGGGCTACCGGCCAGCTCCCCCGGCGGCGGCGGCGGCGGCGGTGGCGGCAGCGGCTGCTCGTCGGCCTGAGGGGCGGACTGGCGCCCGTCGGCCTCGCCGTCCGGCACCGCCGCCTCGGTGGCCGTGACCGGGAGGGGGGTGCCGGCCTCGCTGCCGGGGATGGGCTCCAGCTCCGGCTCAGCCTCGCCGGCGCCCCCGTCCCCGGGGGACGCCGCGGTCGCCGCCGCCTCAGCAGCCACGGCCGCCATTTTCTCACTGGTTTCTCCCTCCTCCGACTCGGGCTGCGGCGGCGGCGGCGGCAGCGCGGCTGGGTTCCCGAGGCCTTCCCCTCCCTCCCGCTAACACTGTCGTCCCGCCCTTTCCCTGATGCTCGTGATTGGCACCGCGCCATTGGCTCCGCCTTCTACCCCTCCCGCACTTCTGTCAGCCCATTGGTCAGGGGGAGCCGTCTGTCGCGGGCTGGAACCCGCCCCCTGGCTCTGAGTGGGAACTTCCCATTGGTCGCGTGAGTTGTCAAGTGTCGAATCGAAAAGGAGGCATGAGGGGCGAGATGAAGGGTAGCAAAAGCCGAGCTCTATACTTGCCGCCTGTATCTATTGGCTGGGAAGGAAAATACAGCTTTATGATTGGTGTATGCTCCTGCCCATTCCCGGCCTGTTCTCGGGAGGTGGGAGAAGGGAAGGAAACGCGAGTCGTGCCAGTTCTTTCAAAGAAGACCCAAGGGAGGAATAGCGGGAGAATGCAGAAGGGAACCACTTCCCAAGAATCTTTGCGCAGAGAGCCTTAGAATGAATGTTATTTCTAGGCGTGGACTTGCTTGTGGCCGAGTGTGGGCACAACAGGCTTCTGTGGGAAAGATAACTAAAGTTCCGAAATAATCCTGAAACACTTTTTTGGGTGCCTATTCTGCTACCAATTTACTAGGTGCTGGGAATAGAACAGACTTACAAGACATTCTCCATAGCCACATGATGGGAACTCCAGCATGTGCACGAAGAGTGTTTTTCTTGGCTTCAGTTTTTAGAAACCAAGGACTAATCTCTGCTTTCTAGGGACCTGCTAATTTCGAAGAAGGAAAATTCTAATAAGAAAGACAGCCAGCATTCCAGGATGAGTGAATTCCTGCCATGTTGCTTATTCTGTTTAGACCCACTGGAAAGAGTTCACTGTTGAAGCCTTTTCGTTCCTAGTCCTCTCCTATTCTGTGTGTAGAAAAAACTCAATCCAGGCATAGTTGTCCATGGGGGAAAGCCCAGCACTTGTAAGGCATAGGCAGAAATGGCGAAATTCTAGGTCAACATCGGCTTCATACTGAGTTTCAGGACAGCCTGAGGTACAGAATGAAACCCTGTCTCAAGAAAGGAAAAAAATAAAGGTTGTGTGGGGGAGGAGGGTCTCTCCAGTATTCTTACCCTTGTTTTTCTGGTTTGAGTGTTTTATTTTGCTTTTTGAAGCAGGGTCTCCCTTTATAGGTCACGCTTGCCTGGAACTCATAGAAATCGACCCCTCCTCTGCCTCCCATGTGCTGTGTTGACAGCTAATGCTATTTTAAATCTCTTTAAGTCTAGAAGGAGCTACTGAATCCATTTCTTCCAGATTGTTCTCCAATCAGCCCTTCCCTTAAGGAGGGATCAGAGGCACTGAGAACACCTACACAGAAAGAAGGAAAGTTCCAATGTGGAGGGAAGATGAAATTCTGAAGACTAATTGGATACCATGTGCCAATCCCTACCAGTACAATCTTACATGCTTGTAGGCAGATTGGTCTGTCCTACCTGCCAGCTCCCAAATAACCACACAGAGACTTCTTATTAATTAGGAAAGCTCAGCCAATAACTTAGGCTTATTACTAACTAGGTCTTACAACCTAAATGAACCCATTTTTATCAATCTATGTTTTGTCTTATGGCTTTATTACCTTAACTCTGTGCTTGGTGGCACACACCTTTAATTCCAGTACTTGGGAGGCAGAGGCAGGTGGATCTCTGTGAATTTGAGGCCAACCTGGTCTACAGAGCTAGTTTCAGGTTAGCCAGAGCTGTTACACAGAGAAACCCTGTCTTGAAAAAAACAAAAACAAAGATACCAGTCAGAGATAATTCAGGCTCTTCCTTTAAGATAACTGGGGGGGGGAGCCGGGCAGTGGTGGCGCATGCCTTTAATCCCAGCACTCAGGAGGCAGAGGCAGGCGGATCTCTGTGAGTTCGAGGCCGGGCTGGACCGATAGCCTCCTAAACAATACAGAGAAACCCTGTCTCGTAAAAAACAAAAAAAACAAAAAAAACAAAAAACAAAACGGGGGGGTGGGGGGGATGAGTTCACTAAGTGATCACTATATAGCACTGATTTTCTCATAACCTCTCATTTAAAATCCTATTATGGGTACTGGCTCAGCAGTGAAGAGCATGTACTACTGTTGCAGAGGATGCTGGTTTGGTTCCAGTACAAAGATCAGGTGGCTCACAACAGCCTGTAACTCCAACTCCAGGGGATTCAATGCCCTCCCCTGCCTCCTTGTGCATAAACCTACACTCATACTCTTACACACACACAAATAACTAAAAATGGTAAAAAAAAAAATAGCAAATCATGGTGGTCCAGAGGAGACAGAGGCAAGTGGATCTGTGTGAGTTCAAGGCCATCATAGCCAGGTTTTAGACCAGTTAGGGTATCTATCATAATGAGACCCTATCTCAATAGTAAGTTTTAAAAACCCACTGATATGTGTTACCTCTCTTTTACAGATGAAGAAACTGAGTCTTCCTCAAAAAGTCTGTGCTTGCTAGCATGTGCACACCATTGGTTTTGATACCTAGCATATGAAAAAAACTCTCTTATGGGCTATATGCTTTCATTAAACATATGGGTCTTGCCTTACAGAATTTTCGTTATGACACTATGTCTATAGTTCACCATAATCAGCTAATTAAACAATAACACACAGTCTGTGAAACCATGACACTCTGAATTCCCATGCTGTATAATTCCCACAGGGAAGAAAATATAATTTGGGTTCTGGGACCTCATTACTTCTCAAAATAATTAGAAAATTCTGCAGTGAGTGCTTTAAATTTCTAATTTATCACGGATTGTGGCAAACACAACAAGCCACCCTCCTAAGCCACTGTTTTCATAGCGCAGCTCAAGAGACTACTTACCCTGTGTTCACATGAGGTCAGCTCTTCTGCTTCACCATCAAGACGCTGTCTCCAACCCAGTCCTATCTTTTAGCGTCTGTTCTCTACCAGTCCTCAGTCTCTCTAATATTGGGAAGGTCTACTTCATGCGTGTTTCTCTTATTCATTCAACAAACATTGAAGGACTACTACACATCAGTAACTGCAATCAGTGAGACAAGCAGAAGACATGCCATAAAGAATACAAAAGATTTGGTAGCTGCCCTCTTGGGCCCGCTTTTTCTAGTTGATGAGTTACAAAGCAATATGTAAGATGATAAAAGATTCTGAGCAATTCTATAAGAGAAATAAACTGGGTGAGGTAATAAAAGAGATCGGCAGGGAGGAAGAATGCACCCTTCAAAGAAAGTGGGTATAGGAAGGCCTTTCTGAAGACAGGACACGTTAGGGCAAGAAGGAACAGACAGGGCCAGCTCTTTACATGCTGACTGCGCATTCAGGCCATGAAAGAATAGCAGTGGCTTCAAAAAAAAAAAAAAGAAAGAAAGAAAGAATAGCAGTGGCTTAAAGTCCCAAGGCCAAAGACGGCTTGACTTGATCAGAAAGAAAAGGAAGACCATTGGGGGTTGAAGACAATGACCAAGAGGATGAATAGGTAAAAGGCTGGAAAGGAAAACGGGACCTAAATCGTTATGCTTAGGAAGAGGTTCTCCTCCTGGGAACCCCAGATGTAGTAGAGAGCCTGGCTCTTACATCTGATGCTACAACCTAGGCACTAATGCCATCAGGTTCTGGCATGGGATTGACACGGAGAGACCATTGATAGACATACGATATATAGGTCTGGCTAGGTGGTAGGATGGATGGATAGTTGGAGGGTTGGATACATGTATGGATGGAAAGAATAAAAATCCAGCAGTACTCCGGGTGGTGTGGACTGTGGGTGTTGCATTTTCACAATGGCTTGTCTCGGTGCTGTGGCACAGCCCCTGGTGGAGATGTGCATCTTCCAGCCTGATTGGTAGCCAGGCAGCAGCAGGTGTGCAGAACCTCTGAATGGAAGCTTTGTTCATGTGTAGCACCTGGATAAAGTTCCCCATTTAACATCTGTCAGCATAGTCTGACATCATTTCACTATGTTCTTGGGCCCAATGAGCATCTAAACAAGATGTCCCTACCCATGGAGCTATGTTGCCAGGCATCCAGCTATTATGATGACCTTCAGGACCCTGCACCTATGACTCCTTCTCCACTGGATGTGAGCAGCATCTCCTGGAAGCCAGAGATTCCAGAATGCCCATATCAGCCCTTCATCAGGCAGAAGAAGGAGAAGCCGGTTGTCACCTCCCTACTGTGAGACTCCGTTAGTAGCTACTGACACTGGACAAAAGTCCCACGGTGAAAGCTAAAGCCACCCATGTCATCATGAATTCTCTCACCACAAAATGGACCTAGGAGAGTATCTGGCATGTTGAGGAACAGGTAGTACTGAGAGGTGCTGACTATACAGGCCATCAGACCTTCCCACCGAGGAGACCAAGTACCTCTGAGTGGCTAAAGCATTCCGTAAGTTAAAACTGCAGAATTGTTCACCCCACCACAAAGACCACTCCCTCACTAGCCAACAGAAACCCACAGGCTATGTCACTCTGCTTCCTTCACAGCCTTATCTGACCCAAACCCTAGCACCGTGGACCATGGAAGTGGGGCTGGTAAAATCTCATCAGATAAACGGAGCCCGTAAGTCTGATTTGGGGGTTTTGCCATCTAGTCCTACAAAAAAAAGCCAAGAGCCCTTTCTCAGCTGCTAATACTTATCCATGCCAAATAGATGAAATCCAGCAACCTTCAAGTTGCCCAAGGGAAAAAACAAACACCATGAACCCGTGAGCTCAGACCCCATGACTTGAATATGTTCATGCCCATTGCCTTCTAGAATGCGCCGAGGAGTCCCAGGGACCCTGTTCTTTAATCTTGGCTCTGAAACAAGGATGTGGTATTTTTAAGTGGAGGCTTGAGTGACATTTGGTGCAGTGATTATCCTTCTGTGAAAGAAACTGTTCTGCACTGCTTTAAAGTTGGTTGAAAAAAATGTTAACTGTGCCGATTGGGAGACCCTGTGACCTGTTTTTGTATCCTTTGTCCTAGAGAAGGACTTTGATCCTTGTTTCCTGGGTAAATAATGCTTATGCAATTCCCAAA